ACATCCGAAACAATTTTGTCTTTGTTTTTATTTCTTTGCTGCGGGTTGTGTCGATATTTGTTGTTCCGTTACCTCCCAGGGTTTCTCATGCCTAAACGCATCCCAGGGATGTGTAAGTGGGAGTCTAGCGGGTTCCTGGAAGCTGACTCCGTTTTCCTGCACAGCTTTCAGCAGCTTCTCCAGTTTACTGCCGGGGACAGCGGTTACGTTGCATGTCATCTCAGTAATGCCGGCTTGCAGGCAGCGTTGGGCAAGTACACGGCCAAGATTGACAAATGCAGGTGTATCATTAGTTTTGTACAATTGTTGCTTGATAGCCCACTCGGAGGTGCTGGCACTCAGAATTGTGCCATTCTCGAAATGCTTCACATCGGCGCTAACGTAGCGACCGCTGGTGTTGATCTCTAGTGTGTGCCAATAGGAACGGCCAGGCTTTTCTAGATGATAACCGGTTGGCTTATAGCCTATGCGTAACCTCTCCAGATTGCGAGGATTCCGGTTGACCACGTAGTTGCCATCGGCTGACGGCGTGGTTAATTCCTTAATCTTGTGTCGCACACGGGCTGAGGTGAGAGGACGAGCACTACGTGACATACTTAAGGCGGATTATTAAAATAAATGTGTTTTTAATTCACTTTTAAGGTAAAATGAATAAATTCTTTCCGATTACAAGTCGATATTTTTAAGAGTATTTTTTTTGAAGGGAGCTGGCAGCACTGTCTTATGTAATAGCTCGCCGTGAATGGCAAAAACGCTCAGCTGTTTCGGCCTTGTTTACATAGAAAATTTTCAATTTATTTCTTTTTCCATTTTGGCCCCATACATAATACACTCTATTGCTTTCTTGGCAACAGCAATTTACCCAGACATGCGCGCTACAGCGAAAGTGCGCGTTAGGCACAAGAAACTATTGCACGGGCCTGAATGCGCTAACCTTGGCCAACCAAAATTCAACCTGGACGTTGTCAGTTGCAGTGCAATCTCCTCCTCGCATTAACGAATTGGCTGTGTGTGTGGTGCCGCTAATGATAAATAACGCTTATGTAAAAACGAGTGGAATATACAAGAAATTAGCCAATCCACGGATATAAATCTTTATATATACAACAGACGCATATCAAAAACAAATTGAGTGTTCACCATGCTGATGGCAATTTATGCAAGTTTAAGGCGAATTCGGCCAGATCACGTGAATTTGACTGCCACGCGTTGTCTGTGGCAATGTCATAGACAAGAAAGGTACCTGCCGCGGATCATCTATGGCCGACATGCGTACATATTGTCCGTGCGGGTAAGAATCAAATCAGAATATTCAAATTTGTTAAGTAAAATCAATTAGTTTAGTTCAACTTAATTGATTTTTTGTATATGTGTGCATATATGCACATTTGTATGTATATAAATGGCACGCGTGTTGATATTCACCACAGCGCAATTGGCGATGCGACCTACAGGTCAGGGATGTTACGCAAAGGCGCGTAATTCAAATAGCAATTTGCGATGTATTCAATTTAACTGATTAAGACCTAAATGTGATAGTCAATGAGTTGTATGTTTGTTAATCGATGGTTCCTTTTTGTGTGTATATTTTTATATTTATATTTTTATTTATTATGCTTGCTTATTGGTCGTCTATATTCACCAGAGCAGAGTGCTTATCAGACTAGGGCTGCAACACATTCGCGCGCAATTTGAATAGATTTGTTGTTATCTCTCGGTGCATGCCAAGTGCAAATCTGTGTGTGAAAACGTGCTTTCGCAACAACTGATAAATATTTACTGATTAAAATGTGCTGCATTACCACTTGACTATTGCCCAAGCACTCTCTCTGGTGCCACTCACTGTCTCTCTTTCTCTTTTTTTTTCTTGTGGCGCCCTTGTACGCATCTAATCGTGCACATTTGAACTTGACAAATTGTCAGTTACGGTTTAAAGCTGCCCGCGCGTAGTTGTGTTCGCCCAAAACAAAATATTCTTTAAGAAGAACAAATTGCAGACATTTTAATTGAATATATAAAGATATATTTTAAATTAAAAGAAGACGCCTCCAATTAAGCATGTTAAATGTTTTGATTGGACTTTAATTGCCCACAGTGAAACTTGCTCCATAGTGCCCAGGTGAATGTCAATGAAATATGAAGTGTAACACACACACACACACTTTATTCCTCAAAATTATATGTAGTCTCGTTTTTTTTTATATATATTTTTGTATTTGTTTGTATAAATGTAAATTGTTCTGCTAAGTATTGCCCGTCTTCGTGTAAGTGAAAAGACAAAAGAGTTGAATGCTTGATATCAGCAACGCTAACCGTTGCAGCTGTGCGTTGAGCGAGCTTCTACTGTACTTTGATTTGCTATAGGCTGCGTAAATTACGTTTCTTTGTTTTTGTCGCACTCTATCTCTCTCTCTCTCTCTCTCTCTCTCTGTCTCTCTGTCTCTCGCTCGCTCTCTCACTCTATCTGTCTTTTGCTGCAGCTTCTTTAGTTTATAGTACAAAGTGTTTTAGTCTGACAGACTCAACCCGGATTGTCACTGAACAGAAACATATATATAATTTTTTTACGTATCTTGAAACTGAAAATGGAGCTGAGAGAGAAGTAGTCTTTGACCCAATATAAAGTACATTTTTGTAGAATGAGACTGAGACACACCTGCCTCATGGCTGCTAGTTAGATTCATAGCTAGATCGCCATGTTAAACAATGTTACCATCAATTCGCAGCCGTTTGTGCAGGCCCCCGAGGCGCGCCCCTTGCCCGATGATAGATCATTGCCGGGACTGCAGCAGCAGCAGCCGCCGCACAAAGAGCCGGAGCAGCAGCAGCAGCAGCAGGAGGAGGAACAGAAGAAGCAACAGCAGCAGCAGCAGACGCAGACGCAGCCAGAGGCACAGCAAAAGAACTCCACACAGCAGACAAGCACACTGCAGGTAACTTTATCGACTGACAGCATTAGGCAGACGACGGACAGGGAGCTCAAGCCACAGGACGGTCGTACGCCGGACCGGGAACCCCCGAACATGGCGAATATGTCATCCGGCGTCGAGATACCATATCCCATCGATTGGATATTTCCCCGGCTGCGCAATCCATCCAGACTCTGGCTCATCACCAGCCAATTGGTGGTCACCATCGTTGGCATCATCAGCAAATTTGTTCTGAGTGAGTGGGAATGTGTCTACATATATAGAGTTTGTAAATATGTACAGCTTGATATATTACTTGATATTCATTTTGCATCCTGTAAGAAAATCTTTTGTTGACTGAAAACAAATTCGTTTTTACTTGCAGAAAGCATTACAATATTTTCTTTGTTTCTCTTTCTATGCTTCCCACACACCATCTCTTAAATAGCTAAATATCTTATATATGCTCTATATATACCGTATTATCTATTTATATTTGCTTGATTTTGTTTTCGTTTCGTTTTGGGCCATCACGGCCAAGAGCTTGCCTCCATTTATGCTTCCTGTTTGCATATTAATTAAAATTTGCTGCTGCATCTACGATATAGCTCTTGTCTAATAGTGCACGCTTGACTAGGCAAGAATTACACAGATCACGACTTATAGGGCGTGCTCGACTAGTTCCTTCACTGCAATTAGCTAAGTGTTGGAGCATGCTCCACCTTAAGCTTTTCGAACAATTTCCGAGATTAAACAATTTCCGAGTCAAACATAGTTTAGCTATATAAAGAGTCGAGCTCTAGATTTTCTCTTTCATCTTTCACTAGAATTTTTTTTATGCTTGAGGAGCTCGCTTTTGGCTATGCTATAAACTTGACTTAACTATAACATATTAGGCTATACCTATAACTGCATATATATCCTAATGCTCTCTCTCCCTCTCTCTCTCTCTCTCACACAGTTCTCATGAACAAAACTCAAGTGTACAACAAGGAGCGTCTGATGAAGGCAGTGGCCAAGCGGCCAAAGGGCATACCCTTGGTAACGGTGTCCAATCACTACTCCTGCTTTGATGATCCCGGTATTTGGGGCATGCTGCCCATGCGCTATGTCTGCAACACGTTTCGCATTCGCTGGTCAATGGCGGCGCACGATATTTGCTTTACCAAAAAGATTCATGCCATGTTCTTTATGTACGGTGAGTGCAGTCTGTAAATAGATATATATAAGGTACTATAAATGCATAATTATTATAGGTAAATGCATACCTGTGGTGCGTGGCAATGGCGTCTACCAGGAGGCCATTAATCTGTGCATCGAAAAGTGCGCTTTGGGGCAATGGGTGCACGTCTTTCCCGAGGGCAAGGTGAACATGACCAAGGAGGAGATGCGTCTCAAATGGGGTGTCGGGCGCATTATCTATGAGTCGCCGCGCATACCCATCATTGTGCCCATGTGGCACGAGGGCATGGACAGCGTGCTGCCCAACGTGGAGCCCTACAAGCTGCAGTGGGGCAAGAAGGTCACCGTCAACATTGGTGAGCCGCTCGACTTGAATGATTTCGTGCAGGGACTCAAGGATACGCGAGTCCCGGAGCCAGTCGCCCGCAAACTCATCACGGACAAAATACAAGACGCCTTTAGGGTATTTTTTTTAGCACCCATTCACAATTAATTCGTTTATTGAATGTATATTTCCATTGCAGGATCTGCGTAACGAAACGGAGAGATTACATGGAGAGCGCGCTTAGCTCGGGATAGTCATGCTGTAGCAAACAAAACTCAATGAAAGCTTATTATTTATTTGAATAGTATTAAGCCAAAAATGAAGCCTCCATAGAATATTCTACATATATTTAATGTAATTACTGAGGCTTATGCTGCCAGTGTGCGAAATTAACAAATTAAGCAATCAGAACAACAAATACTATTGTGTGAACGTTTACTTTAAGTAAAAGAGTGTATTAAAAAGTAGTCTAAATATAGCCAGCACGTTAAATGGCGCTGCATTTTCTGGTTTGTTTAGTATCTAAATATGATGGCAACGCCAATAAATGCACCGACTAACAGCACTATTGTGAATGTTTACTCTAAGTAAAATAGTTTCTATTCAAAAATTGCCTAAATTTAAAGAGTAATGTAATTGTTTAGTATTTACTTCCAAAGTTGGCTACGTCAAATATATTACTAAATTCACTATAACAAAAGCAGTTTTTATTTTTTAAAGTTGGGTAATAAAGATAAAGAAGACAGCACGTCTAAAATTTTAAAGCGAAGCAGCAATTTCAATTTATTATTTTATCAAGCTGGCAACGCTATTCAATACTCATCAGCTGCTAAATGCACCGTTAAACGTCATATAAAAATGTAAGAACATAATTTTATTGCAAATAAATAAAAAACCTATTAAAAACCTAATTGTTAGGTCCTTTTTAAAGAGAGAGAATGCACTGGTGCTAACCACACCAAAACGCATTGAGCTGCTCAAGGACGGTCCGCCAGCTACAGCAAGGTCCAACAGGTGTCAAATTTTGGGCCGCGGAGCCTATGGTACGGTGTTCAAGGCTATATATAGAGGTATTTCCCAGAATTGTACTAAGTTCTCTGTCATTTGAATTGTACTATATTGCCAGAGCATGCTGTCGCCTTAAAAATCATTAAAGCCGGCGCCGTATCCACTTTGCAAAATGAGGCGCACATCTTGAACTGGAAGCACAAAAATATTGTGCGTTTAATTAAGCTGGAATCGACGCCCGAGTTTGGTTTGCTCATCATGGAGCGACCCAGTGGGCTGTGCCTTCAGCGTGTGCTGGATACGCTTGCGCTGCCGCTGCTGCACAGAGTGTTGTAAGCTGTGATGGATCATCCATGTAGATCTTATAGTAATTTGTATTCTTGCAGCATAACCCTTGATATTCTCGCTGCGCTGCGATACTGTCATTGCCAGCAGGTGCTGCATCTGGATGTGAAGCCTCCAAATGTGTTGGTTGCCCTGGGCACCAAGCAGACAGGATTTGGTAGACTGGAGCAGTCCAAGCGTCGCTACATCTGCAAGCTCTGTGACTTTGGCAGTTCCATTCGCTTGGGCGATGAGCAGAGCAGTGTCAAGGGCACATTGCGCTATATGTCGCCGGAAGCGTTGCGTTCGTTGCCCCTGAGCAGCGCCTCGGATATTTACTCCTTGGGCATTACCATGTGGCAGTTGCAGTCGCGTCGCTTGCCATTCCATACGCTCAACTGCAATGAATCCATTGCGTATCAGGTGGTGAAGCACGATCTGCGACCCGATAACTACGCGCTGCTGGAGTCGCTCAAGATGGGCAACGAGCCGTTGCCCTTGAATGGCTGTTATTGTGCAACGGATTGGCCAGACAGCTCTGTGGAGCTCGTCTGCAGCTATATAGGTCGGATTAGGCCCCAAGTGGATGTGCTACTCTCCACGGATGTGTACAAAAGGGTGCGTCGCAATCTGAATTTTGAGGCCAACCACGGCCGAGTCCTCAAGCGACACAAGCAGCGCAAGCAGCCACGACTAGCGCACTATTTCGACGAGCCATCATGCGATCAGGTGTCCAGGTATCTGGAGGGCGCTTATAGCGAGCTATACAGAAGCTGTTGGCTGAGCCAACCTGAGCTGCGTCTAAACTCTCTCCAGCTACAAAAACGCCTGGAGCTGATCCTAAACAAGTGTGTATCTACCTAATATTTAAAAGTCTGCGAGAATTTTAGCTTATAATTAAGTTATTTATAATCTGTATGTTTTCTTGTAATATTTCTTTTATGTTTAACTCTTATTTAGCTAAAATATATTTTTAATTCTTTTATTTTATTCGTATGTATAGTTTAGTGTCTTTTATGCAATTGAAACTCATTTTCGCATTGGTTTAATAATTTATATTTCGTAACTTTTTTTGTTTATTGTTTACATTTTGTACTTGCTACGCTAAGAAAATACATTTATAATGTTTTATACGAGCTTAAATTTAGAACTTCTCAATTTTGTTTTCCGTCGAGCGTAGTGCGTTTGCTATAGGTTGTATATGCTCTATACTATATATATATATATAACTCGTACTTAGGATGTGATTGCAAGGACCGAACCAGAGTTCGGTTGCTACTTAAAGAGACTAACTAGAGAGTAGAAGAAGAGCTGTATGCCTATATATATTATGTATCTATATACACTTTATTGTAATCGCTCGGAAACCATATATACCATACACGGTATATATCTATCTACTGTATCTGTATCTTTTTATATATATATATATGTACTGTATATGCCTTTTTGTTGATTTCTGTTTTTCACCCAAATTTTTAGCGACTGTTTTATAACTGTTCTACAAATCTATATATATAGTACACTCGATTTTGTGCGGAAGACTACATTTTTAAATATATATATTCTATTTGTTATTATATATTTATAGTTCTGTTTACTGATAGTTAATAGTTTTATTAGTTTTTGTTGACACTTTGCTCAGATGCTGAGCAAAGCTTTGGCTAGTCCAATAGAAATCATGCAAATATAAATATATATATATTGTATACAGATTATACAGCTTATAAACTTTATATATATACTGAAGAGCTCATCCTCTTTCGATCAGTTTGGAAATGCGATTTGGGAACTTGTAGCTGCGATCGCTGCTCTACAAAACTGTATAGAGCACGTCGAGCCTTGTATCGATTGTAGTAAACATTATCCAAAAGACTCTTAAATGTATATATGTATATATAGGTGTGTGTATATATAATATAAATATGTTGTATTCGTGCATGCACGCCCTCTCCTGCTGCTTCTGCTCTCTTCTCTGGTTTTTAGTTTGAATATATATCACAATTTAGTCTTTTAAATCTTTAAATCTACGGCGAATGCTCGATGGCTCTTCGCTCTGTCGTTATCAATTTATAGAATTCTGTTTGAGATTATGCTTAGAGGGGGGATGGGGGCGTCTCTTAGCTGGCATAGGAACGACGCACGGGTACAGGTGGAGGAATTTTGGATTTGCGCTGCTGCGATGGCTGCTGCGGTGTTTGCTTCGCCTGCTGCTTCTGTTGTTGCTGCTGCTGCTGCGTCAGCTTCTGCGTCTGCTTTGGCGGCGAGGGCGACGAAGGCGTTGACGAGGAGCAGGATGAGCTTGTGGAGGATGTGGTTGATGTCGTGTGTATGCATGTGGGTATACGTGTGGGCGGCGCCTTTTGCTGGCAGCTCTTTGGCAGCTCCGTGGTTGTCTTTGTTGCTTCCTGCAAAGATTTCACTACATGAACTCATATTCCATGATTGGGGCAATGAAGCACTTACCTTTTTGGCTGATCCGGCAACTGGCGAGGTGACACGCTTCCAGCCATTGCTGCGCCGCCAGGAGTTGCCAGTTGGATTTGGAGCGTGGCGCTGCAGCAGTCGCTCCTTTAGCTTGGATACCATTGCTGGCGATGGGGGCGTCTCCTTGGCCATTTTGGCCATCATCGCGCAGCTGATGCTGTCGCTGCGCACCACGCTAGACTCGAGCTCACGGCGCTGATTGTGACGCAATATGCAGCTGGGCTCCTGCTCCTCCAGCACCGACTTGGACTTGACCAGCACGTGGGGTGGACGCCTCAGCTCTGTCTTGATGATTTGTGCAATGCACTGCTGTTCGTTGAGAGCAGGAGACGAGTTCTTCACCAGGGGCACATCCTCGATCTCGATGTCGCTCACACGTCTTCGGCATTCCTCAATGACAGCGTAGTCATGCTCCTCTTCCTCCTCCTCCGCATGCGCCGCCTCCGCTTCCGGTTGTAGCGGCGGGGGAGGTGCCACAGAGTGCTCATCGGTTTCGCTGGAGGAGCAGCTCGTCAGCTGGGCACGTCCCGCCTCGCTGGGCGTCGGACTGACACGCTGCTTAATCTGGCTCTCCGACATGCTGGAGTCCTGCTCGTCCTCCTCATCCTCGTCGTCCTCATCATCAGTCTCGCCTTCCAGATATGAGAAGAGGCTGCGCGAGGAGTTGGGGCGTATGTTGACGAGCTTATAGAAGTCGTTGGTAAAGTCCGTGCAGGCAACCTCCTCATCCTCCGAGTAGACAAGCTGCAGTGGGCGGAAAATAAGTTAAAGATTAAGTTGACAGTGAACTCAAGACCCAACTGACCTTCTGCTGCAGCAGCTGGGCAATGCCATCGGCGACAGAGTCGTCCGTCTCCACGGTCGTCGAATTGATGAAGTCGCTCGAGGGCCAGAGCCAGTCGTGCTCCCGTTTGCGCCGCTGCAGCTGCAGCTGTTGGCGATCGCGCTCATCGTCGAAGGTTATCACAGCCAGCTCCTCCTGCGACATGCTCCAGTCTTCCATTTCGGTTGAGCAGGGCTCGGCTGGCAGCAGCCACTGCTCCGGCTCCTCGGGCAGTCCTTCCAAATGCCCATTCGACGGCTGCGGCTGTCCGCTGCTCATCGTGCAGTAGCCCTCGTCACGCCCCTTGACCGGACTCGCCGACAGTGCTGCATTCTGTGCCTCCAGATCGCGCACGCGACTCTTCAGCATGCTCACCTCCTCCCTCAGATTATCCTCGGCCACAATGGCGTCCACCACCTTGCGCATCACATCATCCAGGCAGTGCTCGTACTGTCGTATTCGTGTGAGCAATGCTCGATTCTCCTGCTGCATCGTATGCAGCAGACTCTCCTGCCGTGCAAAGCGTGTCTATGGGAAGAGTGAGAGAGAGAGAGAGAGAGAGAGAGACGAAGGCTTATTAGATGTGAAAAACTTGGGATAGAGCAGTAGAATTACGGAAAAGAGTTATTTAGTACAGGCTCAACTATTGAGTTTTCTCAAATGGAATCTCATTTTCCTCTTGATGGTACTCAGGCTTATGTCAGTGACTTGACGTAAGGCTGAGATCTAAGACGTCTGTTCTGCATATGAAGTCATAGTTTAAGTGTCTATCCGAAATATATTGTTGGATTCAAAATCAGTTTTGTTTTCTCTGGATTCATTTCTCAAGAGCTAAGCTGAAGCTTCCCATCTTCCTCTAATTTGATGCTCATATCACAAACGGAAGAAATATCTTGCCCTTGGCCGAATCAGTATTAAATTTCATTAGTTGGTTAAACAGGCAAGATAATCCTCTTCAAGGTTGGCTCAGTCATAAAGCTTAGCTTATCAGTGATGCGTTGGCCATTTTGATCCGCCCTAAGACAGACTCTCGACAATTATAGTCAAGGTTAGAGCCTTGTCTAAACTAATTTCAATTTATAGTTCAATTTAGATCAAGGTTCGTTTTATTCATGAGGCAGTTTATGTGTTTCCAGCTCGATTTTATAGTTCAATTAAATTGGTAACTCCTAGTCTCACATCTCGGGTAGAGATCTCCCCCGACTCCCAGTGGCACTTGCATTGACGAGGGTCGCCCATCGATCGTGGCAGCACTCCGGCTGACAGTCAACTCAAAAGTGCTAAATGAACGACTTACATGCAATCGAATAAACCCACAAAGAGACCCCGAGTGCCCCGCCCATTTGGGTTTGACCAGCTCTTGTTAACTGCCTCGAAGGTCACTGCAACTCGTCGATTCGAGAGTTCGTGAGTGTGAAAAGCCTTGGGCTTCATTAGAGTCGCTTTAACAAAAGAAAACCAAATTTACTCGACTTGAAGCTTAGCCAATGTCAGTTAGCACCGAATGCGCAGAGAAACAATTTCGTATAAAATCTTAACAGCCACCCACTGCGTAGGGGAGGGGGAGGGGGAGTGGCTGGGCGCCTCTCTCGCCTGTTGGGCAATGAAAAGATGCCGCAGTGGAGCGCAGTGAAGCGTCTCTAATGCAAACGCTCAATCAATTTCCTAAAATGAAAAAAATGTAAGCAAGAGACGCAGAAGCTAAGGAAATAAAGCAAGTGAGTGTGCGACAATGAGAGGAGGAGAGAAAGAGAGAGAGAGAGGGAGCGAAGGAAGTAACAGACTCAACGTTACCCAATAAATCGATAGGAGTTTTTATATAAATGTACCTATACTTTGATTTGTTAGGCTGACATTCTAGAATTCTAAAATTTTGAGGAAACTTGAAATGATTTTAGATAAGCTAACGGAAATGACACTTATCGATAAAAATCGATTTAGTTCACTCAGTGAAAAACTCTTCAAAAAACTTAAGACGAAGAATTATGTTGCTACAGATAGAGCTGTATAGCATATTTATCGATAATTATCGATATTTTGGCATTTTAAAGAAATATAAATCTTTAAATTTTAAAGATAAACTCAACGAAACGTGATAGAAAGTATATGCTCTTGATATATATGTATACTTAATAAAGTAGAGCCCATGTGCCGCCTATTTGCCGCAAAATACTTCCTTCAGTCATTTCTCATCAACTTTACAGGGTATTCGAAAACAATATGTCTGGCGAAAAAAAAAAAAACAATTTCAGCGCGTAGTCTCAGTTTTCTCAACTTCGCAGCCTCGGCCCAGATAAGCGACAATTTGTATGCACGAAATGGTAGCGAGGGGAGACATTGTTCTTAAAAATGAATTTATGCGTTTATTTATGACTTCGTTGAGACTTCGTCTACGTCTTCGATAGCAACTGGCCGTCTTAGCAGACAGACAGTCGGCTTGAAGCGCCCCCTAAGAAAACTCCACAACTTCCCCAACATCACAGCTTGAACTTAAAAAAAAAAGAGAGGAAAAAGCGGAGCGAAGAAAACTGAAAAGAAAAACTCTTTGGTCGCAGAGTGCAAATTGTATTTTCCACATGCTGCGCATTGCGCGTGGGTGGTTCAAACAGTTTGTTAATTGTTGTAACAGAGAAATACAATTTAGGGTAAAGCTGTTTCAAATGTTTTGATTTCAGATACTTTATAAATTGTATAATAATTTAGTTATGAATATGAACGAGGGCAGCTTCATTAGTAAGCAAAGTGTACTCGACTTGATAAACAATTTGATTTTATTTTATACTTTTTGCTATTCAAGTTTTAGTCGAGTTCTCATAACTTTCATGCCAGCCCTCGCAGCTGTTGCTACAGCGCATAAAGCACAACATTAGCAATCGCAATAACCAACCCTACCTCCCCCCAATCGAGATGTATATATGTGTATATGTGGGGTACGTACCTGCAGGGCCTTGTGATCCCGACATGTTTGCAGTTGTTTGCGTTCTTTGGATTTCATAATGCGATTCATGCTGCAAGCGGAAGTGTTGTTGTTGGTGTGAAAGAGACAGCGTATGGAGAAGCGGGCAAGCAAAGGTGTAGACAGAGAGAGAGACAGAAAACAAAAACAAAAAGAAAAAGACATAAATAAATAAATGTTGTATGAAATGGTAGAAAAATAACAAGTTGCAAGTGTGTGTGTGTGTGTGTGTATGTATACGTATGTCTATGCTTATGTATGTGTGAAAATCAAAGTTGAGCGCGAATTGAAAATTGGCGTAATTAGCTTTTGAACCGGAATACAAAGCAAGAACGAAGGGACGGACATTGCCACGGACAGAGGGACGGACAGCTGCTGCTGTTTTTGCTGCTGCTGCTGCAGCTGCGACTGTGGCTGCGGCTGACTGATTGATGGCCGCGTCTAGGCATAGGCATGTTTCTAATGGCCAAGACCCAGGCCCTGCTGACTGCAAATAAATGCTTCCTGATTGCCAAGCTGCTCCAACTGCTGCTCCCGCCCCCTCCTCCCTCTCCCCCTGCCTCTTGCAGCTTGGCCAAGCCATTCGCTTTGCTTGAGTTGGCTCAGTAATTTGGAAAATTGCATTCAGTGCCGTTAACTTTGGCCAAGTCTACGAGCTACCCATAGTGCTCCCTCACTCTTTCTCTCTCTCTCTCCCTCGCGCGCGCTGGCTTCTTGTTGCGTAAGTCGTTGAAGGCGTTCTTGGTCACGAATTTGGTATGAAATATATTTAACGTCTGCTCCGGCTGCTTGGCCAGCGCTAGGCGCAAAGAAACTCTTTCAAAAATTGCATAATTATGTAGCGGAAAATCCACAAAGAACATGGCCAAAGTAAACCCCTTTCCACACACACACACACACACACACACACACATTTGCCCAGTGCTGTCCCTGGCCAACATTTGAATTATAATTTCGTTTTTCGCTCCAACCAAAATGGAATGCATAAAACATTTCGGGCAATTCTCCTTTCTGGCAGCGCTCGTAAATATTTACGTATAATATTTACATAATTCTCTAATATATTATTTGTCCATGCTGAAAGTTTTCCTAAGTAATTGTTAACCTAGTCCTAAGCAGTTGAGGCACCTAAATTTTTAGCATATATATTATTTGTATAATTATCTGATTGTATTTTAAAGAATATATTTATATTATATTCTGTATCTATACTAGTTCTATCAAGATAAGTTAGTTAATAGTTGGAGCCGCTCTTTATAATTCTTCTTTATTATCTTTATTACTTCCTTTTCCTATAAAGCACTTCCATTATCTTTTGTTATATGTTCTATATATATTTTCTTGTGATATTTGCCATTTCTTCAGTTTGCGAACTTTGAACTTCCGACAACTTAATAACTTCCCTTGCGGGGTATCTTATGTTTCTTCTACTTATCTAAGAACTACTTCTATTATCTAGCTGAAACATAAATATATTATATATTTGAACCTCTGTCTAGCTCTGTCGTTCTCAATCTCTCATATTTTGTAGTCTAGTGTTCTACTATCAACTGACTGTTGCTATGCTTCAGCTCTTTTGAACTATATTCAAGAGCTAAAAACCTCTGATAAACCCCATAGATAAGCAATGCTAGGCGGAACAATTACAATACACTTAAGTGTTTCAGAAATACTTAGCCTACATTCCACTTGACTTGCCCTGCAATGCAAAGATTATGTTCAGGGTATAAAGTGAGCATGGAGCTTATTTGCAAAGCGAATCATATGGGAGTGTCTAAAACTATTCGAAGATAGTTGAGTTGAGCTTGGAAGACAAGAAAATGGAACTTGAAGGATAAATTTGGAGTGCATTTTATAATAAATTACATGATACATCATGAAAAATCATGACTTTAACTTTAACTAGTAATCGCAGTTGGGAGTTTGAATGCAAAAAAAGTAAACCTGGACAGCTTTAAAATATATATTTAAATGTTTTAAAATAAAGCTCTATACTTATGACTGGCTGATAATAATAATAAATAATATGCTAAATAAGTTTAGACTGGAAGGCAATGAGACATAGAATTGAGGTAAAAAGTGACCCTGGAGGACAGCTGGGCTCGTACGTATAATTAGTGATAATTAGCCACATTACCAGACTAGGTAATGAGCTAAGCAATTTCAGATTGAGATAGGGGCAAAAAAGTAATACCGGAAGACAGTTGCATAGCTAAGTTCTGATGTTATATGCACTTAAGACTCAACTGACACGGGAGTACAGCTTTAAATCTGAGTTATTTCATATGTAGCTAATAAGTCAGGTCAGTCTAGACTGGAAGACAGCTTCAGAACTAATGGAAACTAACAAAAAAGTGACCCTGGGGGATGCACAGAGACATCCCACATAGAATAGTGTAATTGGTGTAATAGATAAGGAAATCAATTTAAATGTATATACACACACACATGCGAAACACACACACACATACATCAGTACGATGAACAATGATAATGTAACTTACTTTTCGATTTGCTCGCGCAGCTCCTTCTCGAACGTTGGCGACCCGCATTGGCTCTGGAAAAGTGCATTGAAAAAGAGGCAAGAGTTTGGGGTGGGGGAGGGTGTTTATATAGATATACATATTATATATACATTAAACGAAATGCTTAAGTAATTAAACACAATAAATTAGTGCAGTTGGCCAATGATTAAGAGAGACAATTTAATTGCCAGATATCACGGAGACAATCAACGCCGACAGCTGATGGAAAGTGACAAAAAAGAAAAGATAATACAGGGTATGCAGAGGGTTGGCTAGTCTGTGTCTGTGTGGGTGTGGGTGTGGGTGAGTCTAAATGAAATTGAAATGCGGGAGAGAGATGCAAGACGACGTGAACCAGACACAAAGAAAGAGCCGACCTTACACGACACCCCCTAAACCACCAATCCCCACCCCATCCCCCATTCGACTAGACTGCAAAGCTCTAAATGGCATCAAAAAACTTCGCTGCGAGAATGCGGAACAGCAGCTGAGCGAGAGGGAGCTGTGTATGGGTGTGTGTGTGTGTGTGTACTCTGTTGCATGCAACAATAAATCAACAGAGTCAACAACCGGCAGCCAGTGGCCCCACACGCCCCCCTCGCCCTTTGGCTGTTGCGCTTTTGGCGTGAAATGTAATCGATAAAAAGTAACATCACGACGTTTTCATCCAACTGACGACAGCTCACACAGCTACAGCAACAGCTACAGCTACAGCTACAGCTACATCAACAGCTAAAGATACAGATACAAACACATTGCCAGCTAGAGATACAGATACTTTGCTAGAAGTGGCTGAGCGCCAAGCGTTTGTAATAAATCGTTTTGGTTTTAGTGCAAATATAATGAATGACAACACAGCTTCGAGTGCAAATCAAATTGAGCTGCTTATGAGACGCGGTTAGGGGGTACAGAAATGAGTAAACAAACAAGATTGGAGCTTGACTGGATGATAGCTAGATAGCTATATAGCTAGATATACATATATGCATGTATACAAAACAAATTTGTTTAATATCAAGCACGACTTTGTCCATAGACAACAAACAGCATTTACTGCTTAAACACTTCCTCGTGCATCAAAGTTCATTTAAAGCGAATGAAACTAGTTTTAGGTAAATATTTTTGAACTTGAGCTTAGCCTGAATTCCAATTAAAGTACTGAAGCACTTCAAGGAAATATTTAGAAAAATATTATTAGAAATATTGTGTCTAAACTCTGAGATATCCTTGTGCAAACAAAAGGTGATGTATATTCTAAGACTCGAATATAGTTATATCATATATCATATTTTTTTTTTTCACTAGGATATCTCAGAATTCGATTGTCAAATATCAGTTTGCATAGATGATGCAGTTAGGAAACTAAGTTCTCTAGGAAAAAAATGTTTTCAGAAGAGAATCAAATCATATTAGCTCTATAAGAGTCAGTATGGAAGATATACACTTTTCATTCAAGTAGTTTTCCAAGTTATGCTATTTAATATTAAACATAAATAAAATTATAAAACCCTATCTCAAAGTTGAGTTTAATGAATACAAGCTTCAACAGCTCTTGAGAATTTACAAGTACATCCCCTTTTCAGAACAGAGGTAACAGAGAAAGCCCCCCACTCACACTCTCTGGAATACCTTCGAAATTTTGCTTTGTATTAAAATAAATATTGCGAATACCTCAAAGGAAACTCCTCGAGTGGGAAGCAACATTCCATGCTAGGCCTAAAGAATGCCTTTGATATAAGACAAATATTTGTCTATAAATATATAAAGGACTCTTTGTATACCCTGTGGTAAGATTAACTCTTCTTCTGCTACACTTTCGCTTTCTCTTTCCCTTTCTCTTTCCTCTTCTATCTCTGTCACTTTATTCACTCTCCTCAGTTCATTCCACTTTATATGCTAATCAAAAATGTATCAACTTTTTCCTTATAATACGGCAAATTGTTTTTGCTTATATGTGAAGTTTTCTCATTGTTATACCCTATGTTTTCTATAGCGTCTGCTTGGGAATGACAATAAAAAGGCAGCAGCACGCGCGAAAACAACAGACGGAACAGAGCGGAAGGAAGGGGCGGAAATCCAAAGCTAAAACCAAAACCCACATCCACAGCCAGCCCCCACCCCCATCCCCGCCCACTTTGCCGCAATAAAGCTGAAGCTCGCTTACTGAATTACAAAATATATATGCAATAATTTTTATTAATTCGCCCTGGCATCGGGCGAAACATAATACAATATTAAAATGCTGCCGACACAAAATTCGGTAGCTAGCTGGAGCCGCCTCTTATAACTACCCCTACTACAGCGCTTTCATGACTGCCCCCACCCCTGCCGCTGCATAGCTCGTCATCTTCATCTCGTGCCAGAAATCAGGCGCCAAATGGGCAAACGCGACTGCTGTGGCAGACTGATTGCCGTCCGCCTCCTTTGGCGCTCCCAGCACCCAGCACCCAGACAAGTGCTGTCAAGGGTAGTGTGGGGCAGGCGGAGAGGGGCGGCTGCCATCGAAGGCGCCACTTGTGCCTTGTGCCTTGCGCCTTGCGCCTTGTGCTGCTGGCTGTGTGGCAGTGGCATAGAATGATGAACGTGTTAATAAAATTAGAGCCCAAACAGCAGGCGTGGTGGCGGCACTGTTTGTGCTCCCCACTCACCACTCCCCCCTCCTTCTTAAGAAATGCTATTTTGGGCAACTGGTGCGGCTGTCAACAGCTGTTGGCCACTGCCACTGCACCCACAACAACAACAAAAGCGAGAGACCCCCACAAACTGTGGCGCATAAATATTCATTGTGAATTTTTGCTCATAAAAAAGCAGAGCCTAGCCGAAAAGGGGGGCAACTGTGGAGCTGGGGCATGTTTGTGTGCGCTTTTTGGGGGAGTCCAGCCTATGCTGTGTCCATTGATAAACTCATAAAATCGAACCGGACTTTTGCTTATTAATTAAAAGCCACGAATAAAGCCTGGAAAAGCTAAGAAAAAGAGAAAAACAACACAAATTTCCATAAGTCTCAATTAGTCAATGACACCGGACTAGGTGAGTTAGGGTGGCCCAAAAAAATTGTCATAGAACGAAATGTGATTGTAAGAAACGGGCCTAGGCAACTGTCCAATGCAGTTCTTCTTTAGGGTGGTTTAGTCTGGCTACAAATTGGACAAATATTATTAGAGAAATTTAATAAACGAGCTTAGCCAACTAGCTAATACTCGTTTACGATTTAGAGTTAGCTCAAATACAAACTATATTTACAAATAGTTAAATAGAGTTAATTTAGGGTGGCTCAAATACTCCTTTAGACAGATATTGGGTATTACAAATATTTCTATATGCTAACAAAATACGATTAGATAGTTAGGGTGGCCCAAAAATTTAAAAAAATAAATTAAAAGACAAGCATATTTTTTCAAGGCTGATTTTAAAATATATTTTCATTAGTTTCAATTACTCAACGACACATGACTAGGTATGTAAGGGTGACCATCATAAAAAAGAGAAAAATCTAGCATGCATTTTTCCAATTAGGCATAGGGGTTTAAAAATAGCTCAAATTCAATTCAATTTCGCATAAAATTTAATTAGTCAATGACACACGTCAGGGCATATTAGGGTGACACAAAATGCAAAGGTAAAACAGTAAGCTGCTCAAAGCGTGTCATAACCAACTATGATATACTCGTTCAAAAAAAAAAGAGATGATGAGGGATGACAGAACAATATAACAATTACTAATTTTCATTCAAGGACAAAGCAGAATATATATTTATCTATATAAAAGGCACATATAACTAAACTCCTCTTCTTTTTCTCTAAAAATACTACCATAACTTATAGAAAACTTAACTTAACCGCATACGCTCCCATTTAAATTTGCTGAGCGAGTATTCAAACACGTTGATGATTTAGGGTTGTAGAAATTAACAAAACAAATCCCGGCAACATGTTGCACTCGTGCCAGGCTCAATGCCAACAACCAAAACAACAATAAGTCTTAAGCCTGATGGGGGCGGGCAGTCGCTTCGTATAAAAAACTGAATCAGAGGGTGGCCACCGGAGTGGATCAGCGAAATGTTTGCACCCGCTATAATCCCTGGACAAGCCACCCCACAAACACACACACACACATACTCAGCGGTTGGGGGGTGCAGTTTATTAAAGTGGATGGGGTCGAAGCTTCGAGTGTGCCAAAATATTTTACTGATAGATTTGTAATTGGAGTGTGGAGAAGGGGCGATTCCTTAGAAAATGTTTCAAGCCAGCTTATTAATAATTAACATGCAGATTGCATAGCGGGTGGTAAATGTCTAGATGGTCTTGAAAGGGGGACAGCAATGGATTGTGCCAATCAGCTGTCAATCTAATTGTAAGCATATTTTCTTATGGATGGTAATTTATAAGAGGGCTTATAGAAGAGGCTGCATAATAGCAGAAATACAATAGAAATAGAAATCTTTCAAAATTTCTAAAGCAGTTATTTTTCAGAAATTTTTTTATTATATGTATAGGGGTTGAAATTTTGAGAGAAATATGGATTAAAAAAGCTTAAGAACTATGGAAATATATTCTTATAAGTCCAGTTAAGCTTCCAATTTTCATGAATAGCAAAGAAGCTAATGGAAGGACAAAGGTGGCTTAAAAACGTTACTTTAATAAGGCATTTGTCTTTTAAAGAAATAAAAACAAAAATAAGTACCAAAAATTTCCATCAGAAGTACATTTTTCGGGTAGGGTAAATTCTAAGGACATTTTATGGCTGCAAATGAAACTTCAAAGTTTTTTCGCTTAGTGAGCATAAAAAAAAAACTTTTTCAATTTATTAGGAAGAATCTTACCATTTCAATAGTTCCAATATGTCAATATATCAATTGCTTATTGATGTTTATCTGCATGCAGTAATTTCTTGGAAAGTTCTTTACACAGCACGAACAAAAACAACAAAAGGTCAAAAGGCAAACCGCAAGCAACCGGTAGCACAATATGCACATACGCACACAAGCATGGCAACCATATGTGTCTCTGTGTGTGTGTCACATGTAAAGCA